CGGAAATTTCTTGGCTGAAAAACTGGAAATTTTTTGATAAAAAATGAAAAAGTGATAGGAAGTTGGGAAAATCTAGAAAAGTGGTAGGTAGCATGGGGAGGGAGGGTCGTATTATAGCGATAATTAGGAGGAGGGGTCGTGTTTTTCAGGAAATGATCGCACAACGCGATGGTGGGCCCTGCGTGAAGCACCAAATGCCCGTCACTCTAACAGGATCGCGTTTTGCCTCTGCCCTTACAGGCCAACATCGTTCAGTGTGAGGATAGGAACTGAAGAAATCACCTGCTTGTGAACCTCCTTAGGTACAATCCACGTCTTTGGATTCAGTCCAGGCGTGTGCACATCTTCAGGAGTTACTAATACGAAGAAATATCTAAAATTTACTAGTACTTTTGATGAACTCTGACCAGATATGCAATCAAGCTTGGTCGTTGAATGTATCCGAACAAAAACCTTTCTACTATCGGGAAAGAAAATAGTAATCAGAACTCACGTGAGAGCAAAAACGATTGGTACGAAAAGTTGAATGAGAAAGCGCGACTTTAGGCTGTAAGTTTCCCATTGACGGCTCGGTGAGCAGAGCATACGAAAATGAACCGATCAGACCCGCACCACCAGTGCCAGACGACCAAGCAGCTATCGCAATCCTGAACGTGAACATGAGATCAAATTCAAGAAGCCTTCCCGAGAGCATTCTTCTTAAGTTTCAATTTGAAGTCAGGAAGGCTCTAGTTCGCTTGCGCTGCGGACGGTTGGGCGTGTCAGCCAGTAAGAGTGTGTCACCCGTCAAAGCCGTTCTCTGCCTTCTTGTTCAAGCGCGCATGCGACAAAAAGTGGTAGAAAATGAGTAATACGAAGGTTATGATACAGTATTGTCACTTGCCCGCTTCAACAACTGGTGTAGAATGAGTTTGGCACCGCGCCAACGGCACTGACACGCCCAACCGTCCGCAGCGAACTACACTATATGTTCCCTCATTGCTTCGAAGCAAGGAACCCGTGTTATCCTTATCTGCCAATAATGCTACATGGACACAGCTTAGAAGACGAACGTATGCTATTAGTAAAAGCTACTGTCAAGGGATCCAAGGAACACAAATGGACTCAAGAAGTTATCCTCTTTAGGGTTTTTACTGAAAAGCCTTGTAGTGAATAAGGCTTTCCAGAGGAAAAACCCGCGATCAGATATACTGGGCAGTGGTTAGTGGATGCCAAGACGCTATGAAGATCAAGTGGTGGACTAAATGCAGAAAAATCTTCGCCAGCACCACAATGACATCCTCCTAACGGAGTGCGCCCCCTCCCCTTAAGGCCAGTTTGGCCCGATAAATCCCTAGGACGGGTAGGATTAAGACGCCTGGCAGGACGGAATTCCGCGACCCTGAGCAGACCTGTGCAGCGCCTTTACCAAGGGAGCTACCCATATAAGGGCCCTATCGAGCTACAACATAGAAACGCCCACCATGCCCGCGCGCCCACAATTGGAGACCGTACCTGATGCTCGTATTGCTTCATTTGCTAAGTAAAATATGAAGCGCAAGGGCCATGGGTATGAAAGCGGGTCTGCGGTTTATGGATATATGAGTACATACTCGCCAGCGAGCGCATCTACTGTAGCGGCTTTCGCATGGCAAGATGCCTGTGGGAAACTGGCAAGATGCCTATGCGAAATTGTTTTTTGTGTTATTAACAACGAAGCTTTTCTTTGCAGCTTTTCGACCGTTTCCACATCTGTTTGTTATGATAGCTGCTGTTTAACGCCGCAGTACGCGTTCCGAATGTTATCACAAGAATGCTGAGTTATGGGCAAAAGTCGTGCCCCAGGCGGGAGTCGAACCCGCACCTCACGCTTTCCGGGCGAGTGCGCTTACGCCGCACTCGCCCCCCCCGAACTAACGTGGAGGTGCGGCGGCTTCGACTCGCCGCCTGGGGTCACGACTGTTGTCCATAACTCTAGCCATTGTACGTCGGCATGCCTACTACATACCCCCCCGCTCGACAACTTTTTCGCCGAGTATAAACCACAACCACAGTCAGCCATGTCAGCCATCGTACGAGCATGGGGGGGGGTCGTACCAGCCCCTGAAAAAAAAGGGGGGGGGGTCGTAAAAGCTGGACCAAAATCCCCATCGAATGCTGTGCCCTGCCCAGTAAAGCGGCGCTCTCTCTTTGGCTGTTGTACAGCCCTATTGCCCTATTACCATAACTGTACTTACGCTGGATAATGCGACGCAAGAGCGAGATAACTGATTTCTCCTATGCCGGATCCCAGACTGGCAAAGCAAACGCCGGCCAACGACATGGCGACATTTTCTGAGTAGGCGACCACAAAGAACTCGTCGCCTGTAGAAGACATATAAGCACATGACGAAATCTGAAACCAACACACACTATTTCAACGTCATACATTCGGCTGAGTTGTTTAAGAACAACTGCCACGATTTTTGTGCCATCTCATATGAAGATATTTCGCGGCTGAAATTTGGCGGGCCGGTACGCCATTACAGCGCGTGGACGGGATTGTGGAGGTGGGCGGGTTGCTCATAGCGGCTGTACTCGTGGAAGATCTAAAGGAGATATTTCGCCGACAGCAGCCCAACCCGTTGCTGATTGGCCAACCGGTCTTACCATCAGTTGACGCTCATCACCCACCTTCTAGCAACGTACCTCAAAAGTAGCACCAGCTAGTCCATATTTTGCGGTTGGGCCAACTAGCAATAGCATGTAGAATACCGCGACAATTTTACCGCATCTACATAGAGGAACAGAGCTGTGCATAGGTCTTACTTGCGAGGCCAGGGTCCTGTGCCTCGTGCGCTGATCAACGCGGGGGCAGCATGTACAGGTGTAACACTTCGGCCATTCAAGAGCGAGGAACTGAGACTGAAGGGAAGGAGTGCCCAGATGCCGTTAGGGAATCGCGCCGGCTCTATCTCCAGATGGTGCACTTTGCCGTCGATCTCAAAGTTCGGCAGCGTTCAGACTTCGCGACGGCAGCGCTCGGTCGCGCGTTCGGCGCGATCGATGCGCATGCTTTCGACTGCATCGATCGCGTCGAACGCGCGACCGAAGCGCTGCCGTCGCGAAGTCTGAACGCTGCCGCAGCGAACAGCAGTTAGAGGTGTAGATTAATCACAATTGAGAGAAGCAGACATGTAATGTGCTTGGCTTTGGATAGGCTTGTTGCTTGCCCTGCAACAGCACGGACGGAGTCTCGAAGGGTACCCGGGCACCAGTACTGTCCAGCCCTGTTCCCGTGCACCTTCAAAAGGAGAAAGTGGCACGCTACTGCAGTAGCGGACCGACTCACCACGCACACTGTAAGGAGCAGGATACACAAAAACTAGTAGTCTTTGAGGAGAGGTGTGCGCCATTATAACACCAGGCAGATAAATAGAAGTACCATGCATGGTTCGATTTCACTCGCCAGCCTACAAGAACCCGCATCTCCTTCTCCCTCTTCAGAGTTACTGCGTGTGCTCTCCATAAGAACGAACCCTACAGTAAGTAAGTAGTTCCTTCGAATAGATCGGCTAAATATGCTGCGGAACTATAATGGGCGGAAACCACCCACTGAATGCAGAGCCCACGATACTTATAATTACTAAACCCCTTCGTCTGTACAGGTAGTGAACTGCAGCGAACAACCCTTCATAAGTTTACGTCAGAAAGTGGCAAGGTAGCGGCGGTAAGGCGCAAGGTTGCTCAAGTGACTCCGCCCAAGTTTATAGATGTCTTATTTACGCTCTCCTTCGTTTGCATGCTCTCTCACTGTTTTCTCTGGCGAATTCTCATCGCGATGTCTGCCTTTGAAGTTTGGCAGCATATTTAGCCGATGGAGACCAGGTGCTGAGGAGCCCACTATTGCCGATGAACGCATCTAATGATATGCCCAGGACATTAGAAGCGATGATCAGCCCTCTCTTGGCTATCGACCAGACTTGATATTGACGGTCACCGACCCAAGGAACATAGACGCTGGCAGCACATAAAATGGCGCATAAGTAAAAGTCCATACTTGTAAAAAGAGTATAAGCTAGTTTGGTAGGTTATTTTCTACTTGAACGCCATCCACCATGCGGTGCTCCAACGTCAGGTACAAAATTTAGCCCTCTCTCGGGACTGGTTAACGATCTTTATAGACGGATTATCAGGTTTCTGTCTTTGCGTCTTTGTTCACAGTGTTTTTTATGAACCTTCTGTAACGTCTCATAATTTGCTTCAGACCCACATAACGTTTGTATAGATGTCTGACGAGGTACCTTCCTTTGTAAAAAACCGGTGGACGTTTACTTTTTGCGTTTAACCCATTTTAATCGCCTCTGGCCAAGCCGCAGCCCAAGCCAACCTCCGATAAAGAAAACATCCGCAGGCACCGGAACGACCCCAAAATTCCGCAGCTCACCATGCTATCAGAATCCCATTGCAGTTGACAGAGGAACAAGAATGACTTACGAAAAACTGAAAAAAGGGTTTCCAAACTGAAAAAGTGCACGGCTGCTTGCTTTCCATTCTCTCTCATGAGACCAGTGATTCGGAGGAAAATGTACAATTTGTCGTAAAAAGGCTATGAGTTGCTTGAAAACTAACGCTATACCAATTGTAGAATTGGTAGCACGATCTGGGTCAACTGAATTCCGTGACCGTCGACAGGCAGCCTGCGTGAAGCCTTTTCCAAGGAGGGTACCTCTACAACGGCCCTAGTGGTTGAAGTCAGACAACTTCAACCCCAATACCCTTCCTTGCCCGGAGCCCGCCCTACTTAAGACGGAACAGACCCGTTTCTAACCGCTCCGTATTCATTCTATTTGCCATCAGGAATATGAAGCAAAGGTTTGATGAGCGGCGTGGGATGCTGCATGCATAAGTATGTTAGCATATATGGCCAGCCCATCTTCGTAGTGATTGGCAAGGTGCGTACGGGAAACTCGTCCGAAATCGATTTACAAGTCACTGAGAACGGAGGCTTTTTCTTCGCCGGATTTTGACCGTTTCACTCCGTTCTTTCGCCATTTCCCCACTATACAGCGCCCTACTAGCATTTTAGGCTAAGTAGGAAACCATCGTGCCAACTGCCTTTAAGCAAGGTGATGTCGCAAGCTAACTTTATTTTTGCGCCATAGGGGACACCGCTACTAAAGGGAATCCGTCGTTTTCTCAGTCACGCTCCCCATCAGTATACGACGCACAGTGAAGTATTAGAGTACAGAAACTCACACAAAAGGAATACGATGCATGAAGAATGGGAAAGTGAGTTTAACGAAGAGGGTGGGCAGATTGTCTGCCAGAAGTACGGCACCTGTTGAGATCGTTGTACAGTGGCGAGAACTGATACGCTCCTGAAATTTAAGAATATTGCTTCTCTCAAGAAAAATTTGAGTTTTAAGTCACCCCGATATATCCATTACATTTTCTGCACCGTAGAACGTTGAAAGCGCTGATTTGTAAGCATTTTTGTGGCGTTGAACAAGGTTTGGATCAGTCCCTCTGCTTTACGATCTGCTTGTTTGGCAGTGAAAATTGCAATTTTCTTATCTCTTCGACGTCCACGCAGTCTATGAAATTTATTGCAAAGGGTCATATACAATAAGGTGACGGAGAATTCACCTGGGAATTATTGGCAAAAAATGACAGCAAGCAATGACGAGTGATTTAGCAGAAAGAACTAAATTTCTCCCTTTTCTCTCCTTCAGGCTAGCTGCAGGGCGTTTTTATACTAAATGATAAGACCAACTGACACACAAAAGATGTCGAGCCAAGGATCCATAAGACGCAACATTCCGAATCTCGTGAAAGGATGACGTGTGAGGTGGAGCCATTTTTCGGATGCGGCGCACACTCTACTTCTATTCAGAACTGTAATGGCTTATTGAATGCGACTGGCCTACACAACTGCGGGGCCAGTCAGCGTCAGTGTCACAAGTCAGTGTTCTTATCCACTCACAAGGAAGGTCGTTCAGGGCGTGGTGCGCTTTTCGAAAATGGTTTTTGCATATTGTAGGGGCTCAT